CTCCCATAACTGGACACTCACTAGACTACTGTAAAGGGGCCCACAACTTCGGCCTTATGTGCTTTAATACTCCAGAGTCTGAACTGAGCCAGGCACTGGCCCTGGCGTAAGGTTTCTAGGCACAATTTTTGGGGTACAGATCCTCTGTCTAGCACCTGCACGGAGAGCTGGGACCTCATGGGTCCTCTGCAGCTTAAGCACACCCTCTCCCTGAAGTCCAGCCATATAGATTCTTGGAATTCAGAGGTTAGCTCTTCAAAGGCACATAGTGGGTGTCACCCACACACACAGCACAGAATTCTAACACACCACTGTTCTTTACTTAGAAGCACAAGAAATGCAATTCTCTTCAAAAGCATTAAACCCTACATGCATTTCCCTCCAGAGCATTCTTTGGGCTTGGGTCAGAGTCCTCTGGGGATATCCAGGATCCTTCTTCTGTATCACATGGCTTCTCTTCTCAACCATGGAGGTCCCTCCACCCTCTTTCCAGGTCAGTTTGCTTTGACTTTGGTTGGTCCCATAGCTAAACTGAGCCCCTTCCCCCCAGCTTCCCCCTCCAAAAAAAAAAAAAAGTGCCGGCTTGCCTCTGCCTCTCCTGCCCAAAACTTTGTAACTATGTCCAAAGGCTTCCCGCTGAGTCCTTCTTAAGCCCTTGCTTTGTCACCAGTCCCTTTATGCTGTTTGAGAATTTTCCACTCTCCCAACTTCCCCAGCCCCTTGCAGAGAAGTAGGATAAAACTGATTCTTTTAGGCTTGAGCTAATCCATTGTCCCAAGGTGTTTCCACCTGAATGAGAGCTAGTGGAGTTCTAAAAACTCCCTTTGTACCTGGTCTGGGAGGGATGACACACAGTTCTTGTCAGAGCTGGAAACCATAAGCACAGATGTATTCAATGATACAGCAATTTTCTTAATCTTATAATAGCAACCAGAACTCATAAGTTGAATAAACATTCTCCATCTTACCACAGTGCCTATGATGTGGAACTGCCCCCCTTTGAGATTACGTTGTGGTGGGCAGATTCTCCCATATTGGCATCTTGATGCCAAGATACCTAATCCTCGCCGTAATAACGAAGCCTGAAGTTCCAGAATACCCTCCTCCTGGATACACACTAGAATACTTCTGTGCCATCAAGACATTTACATTTCTACATAGAATGTAACTATATTGTTATATCTGAAGGGATCTTGGGTGTATTTTGAGGCAGGTATGTTTTAAGTTTGCCTGCTGCCTGTTTACTATTAGGCCTCTACATTTGTATACTTTATCAAAACTATCAGAGGGGTAGCCATGTTAGTCTGGATCTGTAAAAGCGGGAAAGAGTCCTGTGGCACCTTACAGACTAACAGACGTATTGGAGCATACGCTTTTGTGGGCGAATACCCACTGCGTCGAATGCATGTAGTGGAAATTTCCAGAGGCAGGTATAAATATGCAAGCAAGAATCAGGCTAGGGATAACAAGGGCCTCATCCTCCCTGATTGAACTAACCTCGTTATCCCTAGCCTGATTCTTGCTTGCATATTTATACCTGCCTCTGGAAATTTCCACTACATGCATTCGACGCAGTGGGTATTCACCCACGAAAGCGTATGCTCCAATACGTCTGGTAGTCTATAAGGTGCCACAGGACTCTTTGCTGCTTTTATCAAAGCTAGACACTTAACAGCATACTTTGTGTTAGCCTCCATTTTTCAGAAAGTGAGAAACAAACGACAAATATTTCCAAAGTGGGAAGATTAATAGTCTGAATCCAAGCAATTAACCAACTCTACTCCCACATTTGTGTTATCTACTTTTGCCAAAGTAGAATTAAGAAGTCAGGAATACAGGTTTGACAGCATCCCTTTTAATTGCATGGTAATCATCAACAAAACTAGAAGCAATCACAGTGCTTCTTCAAAAGAGTGGACTAATCGGGACAAATATACTCGACTGAGTTACTTGTTTCTAGATTAGAAGTTAACATTTTTAAAATACTGTCTATAGCCTTCCAAAGAGGAGTCATTTTTTATTGTCTAAATTATTTTGAAATTTACTGAATTTCAAAAAAAGCCACAAGACGGTCAGAGAAGTTACCTACAGTTTTAGATCATCCACTTTCTCCTTCCATCCCCCTATACCACTGGAGGATTTTTCCTACAGTACATTTGAGTCCAGTGCAATTGCTTTTATACAAGCAAAGTATCTGTAAATTTAGAAACAACTCTGGCACATGTATTTGGTCAGCTTTAGTTTTGCTCAAGGGAAAGTATGTTTTAATGGCCAGTAAACATAAATATCCAATCCACAGAGTTATGAACATGAGAAATGTTTGGGTTTGATACTTTGATACAAAAGCAGATCACACCTGGAGTCCTCACTTGAACTGAAAAAAGACCAATATCAATAATTAGCCTACATTAAGGTATAACTAGTCATCTTTTACTTCACAGATTTCCAGTGACTTGCATGACTTTCCCCATGGGATTTTTCTAGTCATTTATAGTTCATTACATTCTATGGCTATAGAATCCCTGCTGTGTTAAAAATGCCAAATAAAATTATATTTTATTCACTGCTTTATGCTATATCTTCTTTTGTTCAGATCTAATTATTATAAGCCTGTCCATTTATCAGAAGCTTTTAGCTCATTATGTTGTTAGGCATTACAATATTTCTTTAGCTTTTCTTTATAGTGTTTATTCTAGCAAGCCTATACCTATAGGGGTACTTTCAACCTAAATCCCTATTTTCAAGCACTTTAAAAAGTAAGATTGCTTTGGGGCTGAAACATCTTTGTTTATTCTCAGTCAAATTCAGCAACTTTTGGTTTATTTCTTTCTGTTTTTAATTAAAACATCTGGCAAAATCCCACTGGCCCAATTGTTAATTATCCAAGTGGCAAATGAATCTTCTTTCCAGTTATACTTTTCATGTGCTTATACTGCATTCAAGTAATTCACAATAAAATATTTCCTGGGCTTCTTCAAACAACTCCTTGTAGTTAAAACGTTAACCAAGTGTTTTAAGACCATAGAGTGTGTATCATGACCTACCACTCTGTTCTTTAGCAGTTCTATTGTCAAGGTCTTTGTGACTTCCTAAATTCCACTTCTGTTACTTTTTGATTTAAGGAACCATTTTAAAGCAGTATATTCTCAGCTAAAATAAAGGATGACTGTAAATTGTTTCCTGCTTCATTCTGGACATATTCTCTCTAGTATTTTCATCCTCACAGTATGTGTAAAGCTAAGGGAAATAGGGTTAATTGATGATGGCTGGAAGCTGTGTTCTCTCTAAGCTGCACGGTCGCAAGGCCACCCAAGAGTCAATCAAGTGCTGCATACTTGATTAGCAGAGCCAGGTACATCCCTGCCATGTGTTCAGCTGCCCCTCCCCCTGTGGCTCTGCAGATGCATTCCTCCTGCCCTCTGCTTTGGAGCCCCTGGCCAGCTGCTCCCAGGATCCTCCTGCTTAATGTGCAGATGCGGGGGGGGAAGAAGGGGAGAGAAAGAGGGTAAAGGGGGGAAGAGCACTGATGTCAGGGTGTCTCCCTCCCCTCTGCCCATGTAGCCCAACTCTGCAGAGATGGGGAGGAGAGACAGGGCTCAGGAGCAAGATGGAGCTGCTGCGGTCTGAACAATGAGCCTACTGGTAAGTGCCTTAAACCTAGGCTTTACCATATTCACATTTCTGCCACTTCTTTATTGGCTTTTTACATTATACATAGTTTAAAGTAACATCTGCACCAGTGCCCTCCCCACGTTATCAATATAGACAGTGTATTAATAAACATTTACAATTCTCAAAAACACTCACTAAAAACCATGCTAAAACCAGTTATAATCAAAATATAGCTACAGCATAACCCTGGGTTATGTCCTTGCTAGCTTCAATTTTACTATCTTGAACTTATCTTCATGCTAACTGACTCATTTTCCCATACTCTTCTATACTTAGCAGGCATGCTCCCTGCTGTGTTGTAGGCATACCTCTAGTGAAACAGTAGGCTATTCTCACTTAATCCTTGGCTTCCAACTAAACTGGTAAAAGCACCATTACTGATGATAACTATAACACTGACACCTGCCCACTAGAAACTGAAGAGACCAAAACACTCATTTTTACAGTACACTGAACAGCAATATCTTCCAATTACCACTGGCCTCGACTGAATTTCAGTCGGAGGTTATGAAGGTACTCTATTCTTCTCAGGGATTTGGACACTAACCTGGGTTTTGAAACCCAGGGTCAATCCCCTGCTCTCCTACAGTCTTCATGGGTGACCTCAGGCAAGGCATTAGTGGCTGGTCCAGACTACAGAGATATGAATTGCAGAGTGCCCTGAAGTGATGCACTCTAAATGCTCCATGTAGACCCTGCTGGTGTGAACTCAAAGGTACTTTGAAATAGGGACTACAACAGTGTGAACGAACAAGACTATGTTAACATGAAGTAGATACCTTTAAGTTTATGCCAGTAGGGTATTACATGGGGCAGTCAGAGAGCTCTACAATTCACAGCTCTGTAATCTGGTTGTGGCACTGTAGATAAGCCCTTAAATTCTGTGCTTCAGTTCCCCCATCTACAAAAATTGGCAAGAGTACACCCTACCTCACAAGGGATGTTGAGAGAACTATAGCAGAGACTGAGGTGCTCAGATACGATGGCAATGGGGCTATAAGCACCAAAGACAGATTTACACCATTATCGACACTCAGTGAGGGATGATTTTCAACAGTCCTTGACAATATTTTTTAGGAACACCAACTTTTGCCCCATAATTTCACCCCACAAAAGACTTTCCCGTTAGCCTACCTACCTCCTAGAAACACAACTTTTGCTTCCATCATTCTTATACTGCTTCATTCTCCCTTCCCCATTTGTATAAACTGATTTTATAAACACTGTTACTAGTTACCTACTATTTCCAGTTGGTCAGAGTCAAATAAAATTAAAAAAAAAAAGGGGAAGGGGGGGGGAAGAGAACAAAATGAACAGACAATACTTACAGCACTGGAATCAACATCGCTATGTATAGCGACAGTTTTAATGCCCATCTTCTTGCATGTTTTAATCACCTATTTATAAAGAGAGAGTTTTCAGTATTTAAATAATCTTATAGCAAAAGAGTTCAAGAATGATAAATGCTTTAAAGTTATAACTTACCCTGCATGCAATCTCTCCTCTGTTGGCAATAAGGAGTTTCTCAAATGTCTGAAGGGGGAAGATAGATATTATAAATCAACATTTTTCTTTTTAAAGACAAATATACCTAAAAAAACACACTTCAGTAAAAAGAAAAAAAAAAAACACCTATGAGGTAGGCCTTGTGTAAAAGAGAAGAAAAACCCTTCGTTCGTACCACAGTCTAATCTTGATTATTCTGACTGAGAGGAAGACAATCAATTCAGATCAGCAGTGATCAAATTGGTCCTTCCATGTAATTTTGCCAACTCTGAACTGGAATTTGCTGATCCATCAGGCTTGAACTCTTTCGCTTTGTCCACATTTAGGAGTTGTGTCACTTTACGCTGGCATAATGAAGAGGAAGTGCCTTCCCAGTGCAGATACAGTTATACTAGAATACAGGCCTGTCGACACAGTAAAGTTACAGTACTGTAAGCCAAGGTATGAATTTAAGACATTGTAGTTATACTATTAGGTCTTCTTGTGTGGAAACACTTGTTTCAATATAGCAGTGCCTCCCCACCCTCAGTTTCTTAGACCACTTTGGGAAGTGTTTAGGCCAAATTTAAAAAAAAAAAAAAAATAAGCCACTTATTTTGAAATAAGAGTGGTCACAGAGAGAGCTAAATCTGAGTATAGTTATGTGAAATAAGGTAAGTCAATTCTGCAATAGACACACTAACAGGAGGAGACACTGAACTCTTGTTCCTGCTTTTACAGGGGACATGTTTTACATCCAGCAAGAAACATCACACACTGCTTTTGAGCAACATGCTGTCTTTCCTGAGTAGGTCATTTCCCCTAATTAGTGGGGGAATCTTGAAATTCAGTTGTTTCGGTTTTTTTAAATAATGTTCAGATAACTGAGTTTGAGCTCCATTGACACCCACTACCCCCTGCATGTACTCAGAGGACTTCCAATTAACAGACTGAGGGAAGCTAAGCACCCTGTTTCACTGTCAATACAGAGCTATCCTCATGACAGAGAGGAAATTAACCATAGTGGGAGACAGAGGAGCAGTCTTTGAGTAAGTGACAGTCGAGACTTGAAGGAAATGTTGCAACTGCAAATTCATGATCAAATTCACCAAGAATGAAGTTACTTTTAAGAAACCGTTCTACAACTCCTGTTCCCACCACCCTTCATTTTCTAATATAGCGATCATCCCTTGTCAGTTGCTTTTATGCTGACATGTAGATCTATGGCTTGTATTCCCCAGAATAAAACACAGCTCCCATACTTTCCCCTTAATACCAGAGCACATCCAGCCACAGTATCTGCAATCATCCAAGCAGATTTACTTTAGAGGGAAGCCAAGTGAATAAACCTCCTACTAGAAAAAGTTTTGCTTGGCCTGTAGCTGCAGACCGAGATTGCTACTTCCTGAGTCAATTAATGGGCCAGACACAGGGGAAAAAAGCTGGCAACCTCCTCATACTTGAGGATTTACTCTTCTCTGCTAGCCCTATAAAGTCTCATCTTTATCACTCCCTAGCATGTAAACTGTTTGTAAACATTAGATTTGGAAGACGTTAGGTCATTTAATAAATGTCCTGCTGCTAATGCAGAGTTGCTGTCTATAGTAATTTGCAGTGTTTTGTCCAATCTAGCTTTAAAGAGTCTCAAGAAATGGGGACTTCACCTCTTCAAAAACAATGACTAAGTGTAATGTACATAACTATTTTAAATGTGTTTTGGAATGTAAAAGAAATGTACAGTATGTCAGGGCATCGGCAAATAAATATCCTTATTCTTGGGAGTGTATTTGCCAAAGAGTGAGGTGTGTGGTTTTTTTTTTTTAAATCCAACATTTAAGATAAACATGAATTCAGAACCAGGATCAATAAAGTAACACACACTAGTTGATCGTACTATGTTTTTTTGCTAGTGACAGGTAGTCTCACTAAAACTGCTAGTGTTACCATAAGTACTGAAGAAAAGATTGACTTCTGGCTTTCAAATATATGTTTTGGTACAGTATAGTCAAACAATTTTATAAAACTTACCTTTTCATTGGGATCATATTCAGCTGTATACAATGTATGTGAAGTTATAAGGCACCATCTTGAATGGCGTGTTGCACACTACAAAAAACACAGAGGGGATAAGGATTCAAATTACAGATGTTTGGTTAATTAAAAGAATAACTTACATTAAGTTTCTTGAACTTATTATTTTAAGCTACAAGGAAGTACAAAAAACAACCTCCACGCACCCCCCCACACTTGAAACTTCTTACATTTAAATCTAAAATAATTCCAGAAGTTTCAGGAAAAAGTTATTCATTAAATACTAGATATGAAAAACTTCTCCCTATGTATTGTAGTCGATATAAAACTTACTCCACGGCCAAACAAGAGCACTGATTCTTCATGGCTTGATCAGTGATTAAAGTTAAAATTGCAAAAGTACCATAAATTATAAGCCTTGACTGTTCTTTTACTGCCACATTCTCACCCCCTCCTCTTTTTTTTTTTCTTTTCTTTTTAAAAGGGTAGCTTTTCTCCCTATGATTTTAGGTTGGCGGCAGGGGTCCTGGTTTTAATTTAAAAAGGGGGGAGAAGAATTGAGTGCCTCTCACAAGAGATACATTGAGAGAGAACTTGGAAGAGTTTAGTTCTGATAGAAAAGCTTGAACACACCACACTGGTCTAGCAGTACATCTCAGACCTGAAATGCTATATCCCCTGGGATTATGTGCTTCTGAGGCAGAAACTATCAAGCAAGCAAAAAGTGATTTTATGTGGCTAAGGAACTACTAAAGGACCAGGTGAAGACTAAGGGCATGGCTACACTTGAAACTTCAAAGCACTGCCATGGCACAGCTTACACTGGTGCTTTACAGCACTGGAACTTGCTGCACTCAGGGGGGTGTTTTTTCACACCCCGAGGGAAAAAGTTGCAGCGCTGTGAAGTGCCAGTGTAGCCATAGCCTAAGTTTTCTTCTGGTCAAAATGCTAATTTGAATTTAAGTGTCCAGAACTAAAAAAGGACAGTACATTTTCATCTACTGTCCTACTCCCTTATATATCCACCAACACATGTCCATCCTCAATGATTTTGGAATTTGTTTACAAAAGGATTGTTAGTAGTTCACAGCTTAAATATCCAAGTTTTTCCATTTCATGTAGTTTAAAAACAACAAAAGCCAAATAATTAGTTTCCCTTCATCAAACAACTCTTTATAAGCACTTCTAAGTGTATTCTTTAAAGTTGGTAAAGTGGAAAGATTTGGTAGTCTATTTGACCAGTATGTCAGATTACTTGAAATGTCATTTTGAGTCTCCAGGCAGCAATTTTGGACGAGCACTGAAAGCACCCACAAGAGTGACGAACTTACAGGAGGAAGCAAAAGCTCAGAGATACTGTTTGTGCATCACTCATCTTTTCCTAGGACACAGGTATCTACTGAAACTGCCATCTTATGGAAGACGGTCTAGTGGAACAAGATTAAAGTCTGCAAAAGCTACTACATATAATCTCTCAACAACTGTGGTGAATTAACTTGTGTGTCAACTGATGTGGCTTATAAATTTAAACTACTACTAATTCTGCTAAAAGCCGAGCTCCCACAGTGAAAAAGGCTAGGTCTACACTGTGCACCTTACAGCGGCACAGCTGTAAGGTAAGTGGTGTAACCGCTCTTTGTAGGCGGGAGACAGCTCTCCTACCAACAAAATAAAAACACCCGCAATGAGAGGTGGTACCTTTGTCGGCAGAAGAGCACACCAGTGCTTTTCATCAGTAAAACTTGTGTCGGTCAGAGGTGGGGTGGGGGGAAAACACACCTCCTGACCAAAAAAAGTTTTACCAACAAAAATGTAATGTAGACATAGCCTAAAAATGCAGTGTGTCACAGTAGTAGCTGAGTTTAAATAAGTTAAAATAATTATCTGGACAAAGCTGCGAATAGTTCCTGTAAGAAAGTTATTTAGGCTAGACAGGAGGGGAGGAAACAGACTTCAAAAGGGACCTGTTTAAGTTAGCTTACTCCTCAACAAATAGCAGATGAAATTCATTGTTAACAAATAAAGTCACTCACACTGGATGGAGTGATTTGAACTACTCCTATGCCTTACTGGTTTCTAAATTAAGCATATCAACTCAGGAAAGATATCTGAGCACTAATGTTGACAACTTAATTGAGACCTCTGCTGAATGTACAGCAAGACTCAAAATAGCGAAGTATTAGCATTATAATATTTACCATGTCTTATGTATCTTATAAGTCAACGGTAGCTATCAGATAGCATGATCAATGGTCTGAGCTACTGTGGCAATTCCTATGAAAATACTTTTCACAGTCTGCAATAATCCCATAGAACTCATTATCACAAGTTACGAGTGATCCCAAGGAGTAAGCAGGATAGGACATTTATACAGAAATAACAAGAATATCCAGAGTTTTAGCAGTAAATACCAAAGAAAATGAGAGTTGATAGGGATATAAACCCTCAGACAACAATGAAGATACTGTGTGTTTACAGGAAGATACTATGTGTTTTGCTCAGCAAGTTCCTAAGACTTCCCACACACACATACTTACTGCCAATGTCAGCCAGAGTGCATATTGTCCAAATAGTCAAGACTAAATTCTCAAAAAAGTGTTTTGTCCATTTAGATTGTTTCCAAGTTTAATTATGAAAGCAACATTCAGATAAACAGGTGTCTGATCTCTTATAATAGGCTTCCCTTTGATAGTGTCACTTTAAAAAAATTTAAAAATAGCTGTTATCAGCAACAGGTTCAGAAACACTCAGAAAAACTGTAGATCTGTAAATGCTCTGAAGCTTTTACTCGCACATCTAAGATTCCATTTTTGAAGTCTCCCCACCTAAAGACGTGGCAGCGTAAACTGCTTCAGAGCCACATAAAAATCTCAAACAACAAGGGGGTTGTCACATGAAAGTACAGCTATCCCATGGTAAATTTACTGGACAGGTCTATTTTAAGTTTATTGCAGAGTAGTTACACTTTCAGGCAACACACACTATGTCAGTTGTCACAAATACAGGTGTCCATGTAGGTGCAGGAACTAGTGGTGCCGAGGGTGCTGCTGAACCCCTTGGCTTGAAGTGGTTTCTATTATATACAGGGTTTACAGTTTGGTTAAATGGCTCCGCACCCCCACTATACAAATTGTTCCAGCGCTCCTGAGTTGTCACTATAGGGCACAGGCAAAGTATAAAGGTCAAGCTTAAGGGGACATGATAGAGCATGTGGAAGCTAGGGAGTCAGAGTAGAATCTAATTACTTTGGAGATACATATGGCCAGAGAAAGAGGGAGAAATCCTGGCTTCAATGAAATCAGTGGAGCAGGATTTAAGCCAGAGAGAAGAGGTAGCTCTTGACCTAGAATCTGAAGTGAACCAGTATGGTGAAGAATCAGAGGCATTTCCTAAAGAATAGGGGCTGAATGGGAAATGGGTGGCTACCCATTAGAGAGATGCGGACCCAACCAAAAAATAAAATAAAATAAAATCTATAGTGTTTGAGAAGAGATGGGGATAGGGTGATGCAGTGGTTCTCAGGCTGTGGCCCACAAAGCTGTGCCAGGAAGTGTGCAGAGCTATTCCTGTTCCAATGGCTTAAGCTTTACTAATTGTAGCGCAGTCCAAGACTACCAAGGGGCAAAGAGGTATTTTTTATTTATTTATTTATTTTTAAAGGCACACATGCACCACCCCCTCCCAGTCATTTCTCTAAAACCTGCATGGCTGCTTCATAACTTCTCCCACCCCACCCAGGGATTTTTTTTTCTCCTCCAGTTGGAGCACAAGAATGATCAGGTTCAGACAACACTAAAATTAAAGTAGCAGCAAATATACACAGAAGGACAAAACCAAACTGCAAAAGTGACTGGGACAGTCTAAAGCTGTATGGAATACAGAGAAAGATTAGGACACAAAGGAAATATAGACCCCTAGACCCAGGAAGATTACACAGGATTCAAATAGAAAAGGGGGGGAGGGTCATAAATAATTAAATAATTGCACTATCAAGTTGAGTTTTTCCAACTTCCCGCCCTTATGTTGTTTGTTTCCATATAACCAAGCTCTATACGTACCACAAGGAACTGCTATCTGAAGAGGGGATGAGTGAGTGAGTGACACAGACATACTGGGCTAAAGAAAGAGGAAAAATAAAGCTGGGGGGGCGGGGGGAGGAGTATGTTTGGAGGCCAAACTAAGTGGGGTTGTGCAAAGAGAGGGACAACTACATGGAAGACTGTGAAGGGTAGAAGGTAAAATTTTGTATTCTATTCTGGAAAGGACAAACCAGAGAACATGAGTAAGGATACTAGATGGGTGCAGGAGTGGGCTATATATTCCTACTTCTGCATGTGAAATAAAAAAAATGGACACCACATTTTGGCTGGACTGAGGGGGGGGCAGGGGAGGGAGAAGGGGACATTATATATATATATACACACACACACACACACACACCCTCCTTCCATCACCACCACCACCTCCCAACAGAAAGACACCATCTCCTTTTCATACACTACTACAGAAGGGTAGGGAAACCCACAAGAGCTCAATCACACATTCAACAAAATCTTTGCAAGTTAATATAATTCACTGGAAAAAAAGCTTCTGAGGGCTCATAGTGGCTGAACCAAGTGTGTACAGCTAATTTAGAAAGAGGCTACCGAACTGTCTTCTAAAGACCGCAATACAAAGCCATTTAACTCTGAAGGCACAGGAGAAGCCAGAAGATTTTTGTGCTAAAGCAGCAAGTTAGAAGGGAAGAAATAGAAAAGTTACAGACAGTGGTAATTAAGATGGATTTAAGGCCTTGGGATTTATTAAAAACACCTTTTAACATCAGAAGAGGAAACCTGTCATGCAGTTAGAGAAACCTTATTCAACTGTTTTAAATATAAATTGACAGGAACTTCATCTTAGTTTTACGAAAATAACCTAATCCATATACAAAGTTTCTACATTAAATAAATCACAACTATCTTCCTCTTTTTCCTGTATTGAAAATACTTAGAGAATAAAACTCAAATTCTGTATAATTTGTCAGACTAAGTGCCTAAGTACACAGAGTTGTAATCTAACTCAGTGTGTTGCAG